TGTGTGTGTGTGTGTGTGTGTAATAATAATATATATATATATATATATATATATATATATATATATATATATATATATGTATATATATATATATATATATATATATGTATATATATATATTATCATACCCGCTTCATCAGGAGGTCCAAGAACAGCTCTTGCTGGAATTTGATATGTATACGGAGTGTCTGGAATGTCAGTAATCCCAGTCTGGCTGCTAATGTGAAGAGAGTCAACGAGCCTGTACTGGTCACAGCGCACATATAGCGACACATCTCATTGGAAAGCAGCCCCAGAAGTGTGGGGAACTCGGGGAAAAGAGGACCAGCAACCTCTACAGCCACAGTTAGCAGCTGAATACCTGTGAATATAAGATGTGTACGTCTGTAAGTGTGTGTATGTGTATGGTAAGTGCATGTATGTGTGTGTATGTGTATGGTAGGTGTATGTATCTGTCTGTATGTGTATGGTAGGTGTATGTATGTGTGTGTATGTGTATGTTAGTGAAGACATTTATTGTACAATTTAAAATATATCTTAACAGAGCACATGCACGCGCATCTCATTCAACTGCAGTCCTGCGTGTGGAGCAAAAATCACATGGAACGAGATAGGGTATAGCGTTTTGGGGCTTAAGAATTTAGGGATGAGAGCATGTCTGGCAAAACGAGAGGGGTGGGAAGCTCAAGGGATAGAGACGTTGTAATGCGTAAGGCTACAACGGAATGAACGCTAGTTTTAGCGTTGTAGGGTTTTAGAGTTTAGGCTAAAACCCTGAAACCCTAAATTGGTTGTTCACGCCAAACGAGAGGTGAAAGCGCGTATGTAGCGATACTAGCTATTGAACGGCCATAAGAGATGTGGAAAACTCGGGCAATATACAGCCAGCAGACTATCTAGGCCATCCACAGTTCAGCCTCCGACTAGAATGACCAATGGGACCGTTTCTCAGACACAAGCCGTTTGTTAAGTGAGCGCAAGGGATAGATACAGTATACAGTATACAATTACTCACCCAAGATTCCACCGACTGTATGCGAAAACTGAACCGAAAAAGCACATCGACATGTCAAATCGTAATATTCCATCTGTTATCAGTATCCAACAAATTACGCACTATCCAATAATATTGGCCAAAAAAAACAAGGCCACAGAATATGTATTTGAATACAATAAAAACATACCTAATCGCAGCATGCCATCCGTATTGTCGGGGTCTTTGGGGTCAATCAAAGTAGTTAGGAATCGGAACAGCTCTCGTAGACAGGGCAGATTATAAGGCTCGCCCAGCTGAACACGAGTGGTTGAATTTGCTTCGGTCAGGTTGTCAATGTGGTCGTCTGCAGGACTGTCCTTCTGCACTACCACGCCATCCACCGTTTCTATGAGCACCTGCATGAATGAGTGAGCGTATAAATTAAACAAAAGCTTATATTTATATATATATATATATATATATATATATATATATATATATATATAGTACTATTTNTATATAT